CTTTTGTAATTGCATATAAAACAAAAACAAAACATAACAGCTAGATTACATATATAACAAAAATGCCAAACAAATGACAATAAAATGCTTTGAGGTCTCATTGGCATTAATCATTTCATTATTTTTATTAGTTTTTAAAGTCTTATACATTAAAGTTTATAAAGAGTTATAAATGATTAAACATTTTGACTGTTAAAGCCCCTCACACTGCTTGTGAGAAAGTAGACAAACTCTTACTAGTTTTTTTTTTAAGGAAGGGTTTGCTGTCAAGCTATAAAAAGGATGAAAAACGCATCGTAACGGGGGTCCATACAACTGTCTTCTGAAGCCATACGGCAGCTTTGTGTGAGGAACCGACTGAAATTTATGTTGAAAATATTCCTTTCTGTTATAGCTCTGAAATCCAGTGAATGTCTCTGTCCAAAAGAACTTAGGTTTTGAGGAATGTTTGTCGTCTGGAAACATGTATTTTGGATCCGCTATAAGCAAAGCGTGTCAGTGCATTGTTTTAAATCTGTATCTGTGTGTGTCTAGTATCAGCAGAAAACCTTGAGAAGAGCTTGAGACAGATGGAGAAACACCTGCTGCAGTTGGAGAAGGATCTGGACACTTTCAGCTCCACAGACGACCAGCAGGACCTGTTCCTCAGCAAGATGGCAATATCCTTTCACACGTTTGCATGTGCACCCACACTGTAAATTTTTGTTTCCTTATTTTTTGTCTAAACACTTTTATTCATTGCTGTTTTGCTATCAACATTGTTATTTCTTCTGTGCATGGTGGCGACACGTTCTCTAGCACCCTTCAATCTCACACTTTCACAAACACTAATCAGAGTTTATGTCTGCGTGTGTGAATTAATTGTTTATATTAAACTTCACCGGGCTGCATGTGAAACCGAAGACAGTTTGATAATGGAGTCGTACATTCCTGTACTTGCTTGTTAGTTCTTTTCCCAGCTGTCTGTCATTGCACTCGAAACCGTTCCCTGCGGTCTGGATGCTGTCTCCTCTGCAAATGGCAAACATTTGAAAGCCAGACGTGTTGCCAGGGGAGATACCAGGGGCACGAACTAAACGCTGAACAAAACATATACCCAATAATCCTCAATTAACCTTTCTTCTCATGCATTTTGTATAGTTCGGTGGAGCAGGTAGTCTTGGGTAGTTTCATTATTCATGTTTTTGACTTACCGAGCGTTTTATTTTTATTTTTTTTACTTTTATGCTTGCTGTTTTATGGACAAAAACAGATGCTTTTTTTTTTTTTTTTTTTTTTTTTAACTTTTAGGGTGGGGCTCATGATCCAATGAATGCC